CATTTCAGCATCTGCAACACGAGACAATTACTGCATGCTTTATGTGATCCTCGGCAGTTAGCATATCATTTATGTGATCGTCAGACTATTGCTATTATTCAACCACTTTTTCCAAACGTATTCGTGACGAACATCATTGAATGATGATAATTCCTGAGTACTGAACTGAACGACTGGACCTTTGGTACAAAGGGATTATTGGACTTTCGGAAGTGCCATACTTTCGGCTAAGTGTGGGGCAAAAATCAAGCAGAGTGTGTGGAAATCTTGTAACACCGTATAGTAAAAGGGCATGGAGAAACAAACAAAAAACCTTACATTTTATTTTCCAACGATAAGTCAGCCTGTTATAATATTCGAGATAGAATGCATTGTTGTTAATCATTTGTTTCACGATTGTTTGGAATCAAATTTGATAACATAGGAAATAGCAATTGCAGGCCATTCCAAATTTCAAGGTTTCTCCATTTCGATTAGGCCATGGTTAATCTATATGAACCCCAAGTTCGTGTACTTGTCCCATGTCTTTGTTTCTTTTAATAGAATAATATCTGTTGATTGCTGTCTTGAATTGATTCGGCCGCTGAGCACCTATAACTGTCTGAGAAATAATCCACAGAGTTACAACCGCTTCGTGACAAACTTCATCTTATCTCTGCCCTAAATGTTGGAAAATTTCTGATTCTCTACCCTGGTCTGAGAGACTTTCCTGCATCGTGAATCACAGCAGCAACACTAATTTTTCGCAAGCCTTAATAATTCTATTCTATTTCAGTTGTCCAGGGGAGGAATTTTAAAAGACACCCATGAAAAGCTAATTGATCAGTTGATGATAATATTACAAAATTCCTTCGATTTCGGAAAGGATCCACGCAATTGGATCTCAACAAATATAACTTTTCAAATCAAGAATACAGGAATGCAAGCAATATAACATTATATGCCAGTTGGCTGAATATCTGTTATGGACAGTCTCGTAATTGTCCGTTAAAGAGATTATAACTTTCCAGAAATTGCTGGAGATACTTGACACATTTGGCAGAATTCTTAGGGAGAAAGTAGAATTAGCATTTCAAGTCCAGTGACTGTTCAGAAAACTAAGCTCTGACAAAGAATCACCGGACTGCAACCATTCACACTGCTTTCTCCCCACAAAATCTGCCCTTCATGCTCAGTTTCTACTTTAATCTATGTTTGTGTTTCAGATGTCCAGCACTTGCATTTCCTTAATTTGTTATAACTGTGCACTTAGACAATACTCAGAGTACTTGGCACGTTTCAAAGTGGTTTCTTCAATGGGAGATTATGTTTAACCAATTTGTTGGAATTCATGAAGAAGCAACGTGAGTCGTGGTTAAAAGGAAAACCTGCAGGCCGACTGCACTTAGACTTTCAGAGGCTAATGTCAAGTTTTTCGCGGCATATCAAAGCTTTTGCTGCAGGAAATAGATAATAGCTTGAATAGAAGATTGGCTGACTGGGGAAAATAGAGCAAATCATAAGCGGGATTTTTTTTCTAATTGGAAGGATGTGATAAACTGAATCCGACTATGTTGGACTCTCAAATATTGGCAATTTAAATAAATGATGTAGATGAGAGGAGCGAAGGTATTGTAGACATTAGCAAAATGTGCAGCAATGGAAGATGTGAACACATCCGGAAGTTGCAAAATGGAGAACAACTGCAGAATCCAAAGTTTTCGAAGAATTTAATTGTTCACGTGCACGAATCACAAATTGTCACTATTCAGTCACAGACCATTATCAGGAAGGCAAATGAGATGCTAACCTTTATTGCCAAATGAGTTGAATATAAAGGTAACAATGATGTGATTTATTTCTACAGCGCATTGATGATACTATGACACAATAACTGTGTGGAGCTTTGCTGTCAGTTTTAACGAAGGATGTAAGTATAAATGGTTTACGGGAGATTTTGACCTGAAAAAAGTGGAGTGTCGAATCAGGATAGGTTGGAGTGAAGCTGATAACAGTGAGTGGTGACTTGATTTAAGTTTGCACTTTCCAGAATGATCTTGGCAAGATTTGCACAGAAAGCATATTTTGTCTTCTTCATCAGTGCATAAATATGGACAACTATTTTCAAGTTGGCATCTATAGCTTTAGCAGGGAGACAAGGTAGTTGTTCACCTTTGGAACTTTGATTCAGAAGACAGTGGAAGCAGGAACATTAAATGCTTAAAGAAGCAGGTAGACAGATTCGTGTTGGGCGAGAGAATCATCGATTTGTACAGTCATAAAGCACGGAAACAGACCCTCCGTTACAACCAGTCCATGCCATAAATAATTCCAAACTGAACTAGTCCCACCTTCCTGCTCCTGGCTCATATCCCTCCGAAACTCTCCTACATATATTTCCATCCAAATGTATTTTAAACGTTGTAATTTTAAACTCATTCACCACTTCACCAGGAAGTTCATTCCACACAAGAACCACCCTCTGTGTAAAAAGAAATCATGTCTTTTTAAAATCTCTCTCTTCTCACATTTGAATTGTGCCCCCTCGTCTCTAAATTCCTCTTCTTTGGCAAAAGAGAACTACGATTGACTCGACCTATGCCTCTCATTATTTTATGAACTTCTATCACGTCACCTTTCAACATCCTTTGCTCGAATGAAAAAATAATGTCGCAGCCTATCCAGCCTTTCCTTATAACCCAAGGCTTCCATACCCGGAACATCCTGGTAAATTTCTTCTGAACCCTCTCCAGCTTAATAACATCCTCCTATAACTGGCTTACCAGAACTGGAGACCTGTGCCAGAAGAGGCCTCACCAATGTCCTGTACAACATCACAGATGTCCCAAACCCTCTGCTCAAAGGACTAAACAATGAAGGCAAGCGTGCCAAACGCCTTTTTCACCATCCTGTGTGTATGTGAGGCAAACTTTCAAGAATTACGTGCCTCGCCCCCGAGATTGCTCCCCTAGACTGTCCTGCCATTAATTGTATATGCTCTATCTTTGTTTGTTGTAACAAAATGCCATACCTCGCACTCATCCAGACTGAACTCTTGCTTCCATTTTCACCCCATTAACCATTTGATCAAGATCCGTTTGTAATATTAGAAAACCTTCTTCACCGTCTACAAAGCCGACAAATATGATGTCATCCACTAACTTACTAACTCTGCCTTTTGTCTTTTGCATTCACATAAATGACAACCAAAAGAGAACCCAGAACCAATCCCTGTTGAAAACCGCCTGTCACAGACCTCCAGTCCGAAATGCAACGTCTACCATTACTTCTATCTCCTGCAATTAAGCTAAATTTGTATCCAATTGGCAAGTTCACTCTGAATCCCATGTCAAAGACTTTACTAAAATCCAAATGAAATAAAAACAAAAGTTATTACTGGTAAATGAGAATGTGGAATTTGAAACATAAATATATTAGCCATTATGTTGCTAAATGATGTAATGAGGGCTGCTGACGTTGTATGCTCTGCTGCAGCTCTTATCATATATGAATGTATTTCGTCCTAATTCTAATTGTTTGAATGAAGTTAATGAATAATCGTAGGAAATGCATGCTCAAAGGTCCGGAATAAGAACAGAGGAAGGCGATTTAAAAAAAAAAAAAGACTTCCTTATCTAAAAAGCTTTGTTTTCTTTATTTTCATTGAAATGCAAGTTTATTCTGTCAGAATTCAGCAACCTGCATTAGCGTTTTCATGTTTGGAGAAAGGACGCATTGTTATTCCCTGAGCACTGTCTATGGACAGTTGCTAATCTGATCTCCTCTTGTCTTGTCAAAGAACGGTGAGGTGCTTTAGCATGCAATCAGATGTAACTCTGAAGGAGTAGGGCAGAGAGCAGAGAGAGTGGGGAGCAGATTATCTTCAATATGCCTGGCATCAGATTGTTTCTTCCGGTCAAACCTGGAAGATGGATAGCGGAGCAAGGGTGCTTTGAGCTGACTATTCAGAATGAAACAAATTATGCAGACCACATGCACAATTTATCACTGATTGGATTATAACGGCTGTGGGGATAAATCAATTCATGAAGAGTGGTATTTCATGCCTGATAGCACCAGAATTCGAAAACGTCAGTTTCTGGTCTGCAATGCATCCAAAAATAATAGGTCAACCGATGCAGAAAGGCACTTCGAATTATTCAACGTTCAGCAATATACGGGAAAAAAAAAAACGGGTCGAAGGAAAGCAATTAGAAATAGTGAGGTTGACAGGGATAAAAGTGCAGCAAAATTCCGTGAGACATAAACCGGCAGAACAGTCCCTGCCAGGATTAACACGGGTTTCTGAAAGAGACCATCTGGCACCCAGAGACAAGGTGAAATGGACAAAGAGAGAAACTGGAAAGATTGCAAGGAATAGAGAGTAAGAAAAGGGAAAACAGCACTTCTGATTCAGCTTTATTTCTAAAACTCTTCTTCTCCTTTATGATTTCAATAGAAATGACCACGGATTTTCAGAATCAAAAGATATGGAGCTTTAAAAAGCCACATAACAAAAACCGCATGTTCAACAGTTTTGTGTAGAAATAAGCTACTAAATAGAGATAAACGCTAACAGATGCACAACTCTCTAAACCTGAGGGTAGTAGTTCAATAATCATGGCTCACAATTACAAAATTGTCAGCAAGAGAGCGAGGAGATTTTTTTTTTACTCAGAGATTAGTTAAGATTTGGAATCTGCTGCCTATAGATAGTCGTGAAGGCAGATTCCATTGGAGGTTCAAAAAAAGAGCCGGGTATGCATTTGAAAGTGATGAGTTGAGTGGACTACGGAGTTAGCTCAGTCGTTTATTCGGGAGCTGGCAAAGATACAATATGTAGAATGACCTCCTTTTGTGCTCTGAAATTCTGTCGTTCGAAAGTGGAAAACGTGTAGATTTTGAAAAGGAAATTGTTTCC